TATCTATACAGATGAACTGCCTACAGTTTGCAATTCCAAAAGAAAAAAAAATTAAACACATCAGAGAAAATAAAAAGCAAGGCCAAAAGCAGAGTGCCTTTGAACTAGAAGCAACTATTAACTTACTTTATCTATACAAGGCTTGACACCAATCATGATAGATTCACCAAAAGCTCACATTACTCTTCAGCATCACTTATGCTCAGAGGAGACCAAAAAAAAAAATTTGTGAACTATAAAAGAATGACTGTCATTTGCTTAACCTGATGTACAGTATCCAATGCACAATGCTGCAAGAATTAATGGTCAGGGCACTGTCAATGCCTAGAAACTAATAGCTCCTGATAAAATCAGACTGAAATATGGTCATGCCTAATGCAACCACTGCTTACAAGAAAGTGACAGGTTTTTGTGCAAGCAGGTGGGAGAATAGCATTGGGACTATCCTGCTAACAAATTTTCAGCATGATGTACTAAGATAAACTGAAAACCCAGAATCAGAGAGTCACATAAAAAAAGAGAGACAATTAGGAGCTATAACAGTCTTAATCTACCGTCACATAGCTACTGCAGCCCCTAAACACCACAAATTTCAGTCTGGGAAACTATTTTATCTGTTGTCTCTGATGTTATGGTTTCACTTCATATCTTGCACAGCAATATAATTCTGTGCATTGTAACTTTCAAGTAGCACAGAGATTTGCCATAATCATCCTTCCATAATAATCCATAATAATTCCAGCAGGAAATTTTGTCAAATACTTGAGAAAAACTCATGTAAGGTATAATAGACTATACCTACGTAACTGAATGACCTATGCTTTGCAATTTAAAAATAAAAAAATTAGAGGTCAGGGAAAATAAAGAGGAAGCCCAAAAGCAAAGTGCCTTATATTTAAACAAAAGCAACTGTTAACTTACTTTATCTATACACGGCTTGACACCAATCATGATAGATTCACCAAAAATTCTTCCGTCTTTGCTCAAGGCTTTCCGGGCTTGAAGCTTAGACTGATACCGAATATGCATCCAGTTTCCCGTGTTGGACATCTGTATGAGTAAGTGAAAATTGTGAAATTTAGACTTTTAAAGAATGAGCCAGAATGGTTTCAAAAATAAGTCTCAAACTAAGACATACCACATGCTTTAATATGTTTCCATATTGAGCGAACTGTAGAAGAATATACGAAGCTGATGCTTGAGGAAATCTGAAAGACAGAAAAAAATGCTCAAAAAATTGTAACAAGTGGTTTAAGAATTCTAGTGCTAAAAATACAACCCTACGAAGGGTTTCTCAAAACCCAAAAAGAGAACAGTGTGTTAATGCCATTTTGGAAGCAGTAACTTGAAAAATTTATCTTCTAGGCATTTTTACTCCACCACACAACTCAACGGTAGAATGTTAGCTTTCTAACTTGAAAAAATTAACATGTAGCTTAAGTTAAGGTGCTTCACCAAATGACATGCATTTGCTGGCCTGAACCACAGTTGTATTTGCTGCAAAACCTACGAAGGCCAGACAACAGCAACGTTCAAGTGCTTCTTTCCACATGTTGCAGACTTCACCTGTGGTTTTTCTACTACTTTGGAAATCAACTTACCCAAATACAGTTACCCATGTGTCATCAAGTTGATCTTCCGAAGTCAGGGAATCACCCTGAGTATAAAAAGGATCTAGTTGAGCAGGAGATAGAGTAGTTTTCCTAGGCTGTCCAATACTTGCAGGACTGAACATACTTGAAGCTGTTAAGTCAAAATGGCATTGTTTAACAAATTACTTTTGCAAAACAGATAAGAGTCTATAGTAGAATAAATTTGGTATCAAGCATTTCACTTGTATATGGAAGAGTTTGACGGACTTTACGTCTGCAAGCATGCTAGTAAGTTTTGTGACTACCAACCTAGTTCCTCCTTGACCTCTAAACACCAGCATCTTAATACAGAAGCCAAATAGGAACAGGACAGCAGAATTAAGCTTAGCAAGAAGCCACAGGTTCACACGCAAGACAGGAAATGGTATGAATACAGAAGGTGACCCATCAATCTCAGCTGCTTCACTCAAGTACAACCACCTCGGAGCTCAGTTCAACAACAAATTTTTTAATAAGAAATAAGTAAGGTTGATTGAAAGTCAGAGAGATTGAGTGGGAAGGTATTTCCTACTCACATCCACATACTTTTGAAGAGCTAGTAAATGCAGATGCAACTCCTTTGCAGATTAGCAAGTAGTTGATGTAGCTTGAACAGTGATGATTTCTGAGTATAAAGGAAAGCAGTGGGAAAGTAGATTATGTATTTTGACAGGACATCTACCTGTTCCAGGAGTTGATGGCATAGTTCCAACCAATGGGCTCTGTGTTATAGAAAAGCTGGCCTGCATTAAAACACAGAAAGTAAATCATTCTTACAGGTACACTTCCCAGATCATAAGAGATCGTTTTCAGGTAACTTAAGCATCAGGCAAGAATATTAACTGTTTGCCTAAAGTTACTCCTAATTTTTAAGAGTAAGAACAGACATTTACATGCATATTTAATACAAGATTATGAAAAGTTATTAATGAAAAGTTATTTGACAATGTTTTTACATTCTAGCAGACAGCCTGGACTTTCAGTAGGCCTCAACAATTACATTTTGGAATTTCCAGCTGATTACTAAGCCTTAAAAGAGAACACAGTTAACTTTCCTGATCAGAGATAGTAGGGGACTGCAGATCAAACTACAGAAGGGAAGTGCCACAAGCAACAGGATTCAGATTGCCTACAGTACCTTCTCATCTAACAAGAGCTGCTGGTATACAAGAAGAAAACTTATTTAGGCTTAGGGTGAGCTTTAGGCAATAGTAATTTAAAAAATCCACTACCTAACACCAATCACATAGGCTTTTTGAAACCAAGTAGCTTTAGGTATCAATACTTGGAAACCTTATAGTTTAACTTTTTCAAAATAGACATCTCGCTGTTGCTGTAGCACAGTAATTCACACATTCACATGTGTCCTGATGGAAAGGATGCCAGTATTTTAAGCCACCAGCATCTGATTTTCACTAAAGGGCTTAGAAATACTTGGAGCATAACCCCAACTTGTGTTCCTCACCACTAGACTTATTTTCCCTCTCAACTATTCAGTGCAACTACACTGAAGTATGTTTGAATTTAACTGCTAATAGTTACTTTCTTTTTAACATAGAAGGATTTCAATATCCAAAACCATTTTACTGTATTTTTAGCCTGAATCATGTCTTTTCTTAGATACAAAATCAAACAAACTGGAGCACCTGTAGACCCAGCAACATGCATTCCAATAGCTGCTCTTTAAAAAAACCCAAACAGATCCAGTCCTTTAAGACAGTATTGGATTCTGTCCTTCACAGAAAACATGAACTTTCAGAATAAACTTTTCAGAAGGTAACATTCAATAAGACAACTGTTCATTCAGAGAAAGGCCTTCTCCTTGCATGAAAAGAATCATGTTCACTGAAAAAGAATCTACTAATGCTTTACTGCTCAGTTGAGCTAAGTAGTAGAGCTTACTATGAGAATGACCTTCTAGAAATTTTACTGTTACTCTTTCAAAATTAACCCCACCTCCCTGCCCAAAGTTTGAATAGATATTTTACTCAGCACACAATTCTCCCTATTTCAGTAAGCACCTCTTTTGACCACTAAAATAAAAGATAATGCGTATTTGGATCCTTCTGGCAATCAGCAGCCCAATAAATTTATAAGAAAGTGAAAAACTGCAACAAGTCTGCATTCATCACATACAAAGAATAGCAGAGGTACAATTTGCATTTTTCATTCTCTACAATAATAGAAACCAGTAACGATAAGAAGTAGCTCCACAACTGCAGCTCTAATTTAGACTACACAGGAACAGGCACACCCAACACAAAGACTAAGCAATAGCATAATCTGAAGACTCACCAGCAATTTTGCTACAGCAGCTTATACAACCGAGTTAAAGAATTCACTGAAGCAATAAGCTAAATCACACCTGCTGAGAACAGGCTAGTACCTAAGGCACTTACTGGTCTTCTTGAGGTTAGAGGTGTTGATCCAAGTCCAGGACTAGATAATTCATCATATATGCTTCTAACTGGTGGAGCACCACCTTTATCTTTATGCATAGGGACTACTGGTTGTGGGGGAGATCCTCCTGCAGTTAAAAGGAACAGATGAAGAGCATGAGGAAACCTGTAATTTTACTCACTGCTACTTGTTCTTGAAATTTCAACAGTAAGTTCAGCCAGGAAAGGCTGTTCATTGTTTCACCGAGAGTTTGCAAAACCATCTGGCCTACCAAACTGTTCAGGTTTGAGTGTTCTATGCAAGAATGTCACATATGTATCAGAAACTGCCTCCTTGCACAAGTATCATCTAAACCTTTTAGATCTGTGCTTAACCCAGTGTATTCACTACTCACACATACTCGTTCCTTTTATGAAGTTTTGAGCATAGCTACATCTTCCTATTTTAAGGCAGGTTACTAGTGTATTTTAATTGTTTCAGAGACTAACTTGCCTGGAGAAGAGATGCAAAAGCAAAGCTTTTAAGACTTGAGAAATACTGCATGCTGAAGAACCATACCAAAATGCACATGCTGTCACATTCTCACTGCCCAAATTCCTTTCCTTCCCATAAAGTTTCATATTAGATATAAAGGTAAGCTCTCAAGAGCAGGGACTAGCTTGCATTTAGATAGGATGAAGTTAAGCCAGCTGCTCTCCTATTTTGTAAACTTAGCAACTTCCAGTGTAACAGAGAATTACACTGACTGAAAGATCCTGACTTACCTTTTAACATTTTGCATGTGTTTACCCCCTAGAAAAAAAAGCAGTTTGACCTAACAGTTCTAATTTGCAAAACATATGGAAATTAAGTTTTTCCAAACTACTGTTCAACCCTAAATTCTGAGCTTCAAAACTCCTCTCTGAACTGTGTAACACACTCAGTGTTACTGTTACAGTGTACTGTCTAAAGCACTCTCCCCATCAAGGTTTTCAGTTTGAGTGATGAACTTAACCAGTCACGTTGGGAGGCCTGTGTTAGTATCTTACTGGTTCCTTTTTCCTAGAATTGATACTCTGAGGCTGTAATAGCACATTTAAAAATGAAACATGAAATTCACGAGATCATTTTCAATTTCATAAATATTTTCCTAAGAGGCTTGCATTTAAAGAAAAAACAAAAACAACAAACAAAAGCAAGAAGCAGGAAATCAACAGACCACCAATCCTGCTTGAAATTGAAAGAAAAGAGTACCTAAGAGTATCTAAGATTATCTTGCAGTACTTTAACCCTTAATTTCTCCTTCAAAATTACTAAAACAATAACACCATCAGATATTTATTTAGCCAACTGATTTAATGCAAAAAAAATTATTGTCCATGACATGAAATATATCAATGAAGCTGTAACTACTCACTCATGCCTCTCAGAGAAGAAAACAGACAAATAATACCACCATCCTAGAAACATGGGTAAGGGCTTTTTCTAGACAGATCAATTAGGTGGTTAGAAAGAAGAGCATCTACAGCTAGGAAAAGTCAGTACTCCAGCCCAACTACAGCCGATATCAAGGCTGTAAATACAACTACTAGATCCTAAGAAGTATTTTTTAGTTTTTCCTCCATCCAGTTTTTATAAGTCTGATAACCTGTAAATAACTTCTTAGAATTCATTACAAAGAAATCAGCAGCCTGCACAAGTTGCATTTAATTTGCCAGCAGACATCTCCGTTTTAAACAAAGAAAACATCAATGGTTGTACGTGCAATTGACTTGTAAAGAGCTGTACAAATTTATTTTATATTAGGAGAGGCTCATATTACCTTGCCTGTAAATTCAACCTTTCCTGGCACAAAACTGCCACGTTTAAAACATCCATTAAACTTAAGTCTACTTTGAAGACTTCAGCCAAACTCCACTGAACACATTTGAGTTCACCATTTATTCAATGAGTTGAGTTCATTTACATCAAGTTGTAAGACTACAAGAAATCAAGTCTGCAACAGTTATGTAGAGCAGTAAGACAAACCAATTTTTTACTTTCAGATAGTTTTTCAGCATTTAATTAATTCTGACCTGCAAGTAGGGGAGATCTCATTTCCATTACACCAACTGAAGGGCCGCTCAAAGCGCGGGGCTGTGGAGTCACTGGCGCAGGTAAATCACCCATCAAGAATCCAGGAAGAAACTGAGCACTAGCTCCTGGTTTTGGAGACGTTGGAGAGCCCAGAGTCATTGGCTCAGCTCCTGTGTTAATGAAAACAAAATTTAACAACATGGAAGAAGCCAAATGACCTAGCCTTTGCCATTGCTTAAATAGCAGCCTACTAAAGAAATGTAAAGTGATATATAGTGACTAAGAGTGTTCTAATAATTTATTTTCCAAGTACACAAAGCTTATCACAATCTTGCATATTTTGCAACTAGAGGAACTGCCGTGCTGAGACTTTGTTCTTAAAATATGCTACTTCGGTTATGGATGGATTTCTGGGTTCCAGAGCAATTACGGTTTTGGGGTTGGTTTAAAGGTGTTTCTTATGTAAAAGCAATCACGTCAAGGCTGGATTCTCGTCCCCATGCCGGCCGGTTCCACGCCCCAGCCCGGGGAACGCGC